ACACATTCAGTGTCAGTGTTGAAAATGTGTTTTCCATTCATGATAATTAATTACCTTAGTATTTAAAAAAACTTATTCTGTCTATACTGAAGTATGGACTGATACAGGTAAAAAGCCCATTTAGGAAGCTACTGCACCAGACCATAGATCAGCGGCAGCGCCATGGTACAGGAGGACCAAAGAGAAGTAAATACAATCCCATTGCTGAGATTCAGTGTACAGAGGCACCCCCCTCCAAAGGTCGCTGAGACTATTTTTCTACAAGATACTTCATGGACTTACTCTGTATCCCTACAAGTATATACTTCTTCAACTGACTAAATATCCTGCTGCTCCTAAATACTCCTGTCCTATTTTCCAAGCCATCCCAGACTATCTTCTGAGACTGCTGCTCCATAAGCAGTAACAATTGCCATCATCCAATATCTTTACTTTCCATCGACCTTGCCTCACCCAAAAACAATCACTTCTCCAACCCTCACATACCTCCTGTGATCAGCTGCCATTTCTGGAACATTGTTTCTTCCAGTCCATGGAGAGACTTCTACTAAACCTGAGGCGTACTTTATCTGCCTATAAAGACATCTCCAATGCCTGGTCATCTGCCAATATCCTTGCCACAATCCAATATTCCCCACAGCATTTACATTACTTGATTCACAACCCTTCCAACCCTAACTTGCACTGTTCATGCGGATGGCACATGTAATTACCCTCACTCTGGTAATATCCTAAAATCTACTCTTCAGCTGCACCACATTCAAAATCATCAGCTCAAAGACCACTGCATTCCAAGCAACCTCCTTCCTTTCTGCTCAATTCCAACATCACTTCGCTAGACAACAACCACACCTTCAATTTAGTACATGGGCATTTATTCTACAAGTTAGCTACCAGACTCTCCTAAAATGGAGGTGAAATAATATACAAAAGAAAATAAGTAACCAAAAGTATTGCATAATCTTTGGACCACGGATAGGGTTAAAAAAAACAGATAAAAATAGCAACTAGAGGACTAGTACATAAACATACCATAGGTGATATTATCAGACAGCGAATTGTCTTTGGTGTGATAATGGTATCATGGTTTTGTGGGAACATACTCTTAACCTTAAGATATATGGTGAAATATTTAGGAGTGATGTCATAATGTTTGCAACTTTCTTCAAAGGGCTTAGGAAAAAATAAACAGGAGAGAATGAAAGGAAAAGAGAAAGAGTAAGGTTATAGAAGTGGCAACGAAAAGGTAAAGTAGAGAAACAAAGCACATGTAAAGGAGTTTAACAATTGGCTAATCCACGTAAAAAGCACAGAAATGTGTACCAGAGTATTTATTCAACTTTTCTGTGGGTTTAAAAATACCTGAAATAAAAATGGCTATGGAAAATATATTAAGAAAAGCTCTTCTTGATAAACATCGTGAGCTAAACACAAAATTCGGGGTTAGACATGATGGTACTCTCCTGTACCCCATCTTCTTGGGAGGCTGAAGCAGAGGGTCACTTCAGCCCAGGAATTCAAGCTCAGCCAAGACAACATAATATCTCTAAAAGAAAGAAAAATGACATGTACACATTCCTACCTTTCATTGTGCTCATCCCAACATAATGAGAAATGCTTTGGAATGGCAGGCAGTTTAACTAGTATGAAAATACACTAAACATTACCCTGAAAACTGCTCTTCTACGTAAACCTGCCCATCCAAGTCACAGCTGCACAATACTTTATAATAAAAATGCACTGTCATTTATTCAAATATGAGTCCACTTGGTGCACACTGAGTCTACTTGGTATTTGGGCTACTGCAAACAATGCTGCTGCAAACGTCCTCCTGATCATCACCTCACCATTCAGTCTTTCAACTCTACAGGAAAGATTCCTGAATGTTGAGCAGCTGGGTGAAAATATAGGTACTTTATTTGAACCTACATTGCCAGACCATTTCCCAACTACAGCAAAGCACACTCCAAAGATGCCTGAATGTGCCCATCCCCATTATTTCACCTACTCAGCGGTAAGCCACCAGTCTTTTGAAAAATGCTGCCACTCTGGTATATCATCTGACAGCAGCACAAAGTGAGGTACTCTGAATAGAGTCACTATGAATCCTAACGCAGTCCTCATGTTACTTTCAAAGGATCAAAGGGAAATGTGAGAAAAGAAAGATATATCAACCCCTCCTTAAATTCCCACTCTTGAAGTTAGTGTACTTACCTGTTAATGTGTTTTCTTACACCCAGGAGAAATTACTTGCAATCAGGGATAGCACACTCATTCATGCAAAAAATATTTACTTATAATAAATAAGCATTCTCTCTACTCCCACGTATATGGAGATATACATCACCTACCATGTGCCAGACACCATTAAGCAGCACTAACATGCACTTAAGCAAGATAAGCACCATCAGTGCCCTCATCCTCCTAATATTCTTATGAAATAACCCAACATTTAGCCATGAATTACACAATCAATACTTTACTTTCCAGGGCAGTGAATGCTTTGGAGAAGTGGGGGACAGGAGGCAGTGAGAGCACATAACCCCAGCATTGGGAATGACATAAGATGGCCTTTAATAGTATTTATGATTTAAAACATTTCACAGCACCAATTGATTGATACTGATTTCTGATATAGGATTTTTAAATATGTGCTTTCATGTGATTAGAGAAAGAGAAAAATGGAGACTAAAGATATTGGACCCCTCCATTTTAAAAGATGGAATATGAGACTCACAGAGACAAAGTAATAGGACAAAAATCACAAGGGAACTAAGTGGCATCAGGACAAGATGTGGGCTCAGGTCTGTCTGGTTCTTTCTATTACCTTACAATAGCTCAAAGGCAGAAATTTCAAAGTAAGCCTGGATAAGTCTATCTGTTCAATGAAATACATTTTAAAATGTGATACATATAAAATTAAGACAAAGGCATCCTTCTTGGTATTTAAGTCAATTTTTTAAAAATGCAACTGTTGAATCTAATGTGTAGTAAATAATATAAGTAAATTGATGGAAAATATGTTAAGTATAAAATACAGTATCACAGTGTATTCTGTAAATACAAAAGAATATTCCTTTCAGAAGCCAACTGAAATCTGGGATCAATCCTCCTCTAATGGTCTGATAAACTGCCAAATTCCATGCCACTATGTTGTATTACATAAAAGTTTAATGGAGATGTGGTTTGACAAAATATTCTTACACACATTCTCCTGAATTCATAATTTTATCATTAATATTTACTGCAGTAAAACCTAAATTAACCAAGATTTAATAATTCAACAACCACAATTTAAAAATTCAAAGAAAAAAGGAGGGAAACCCCCATATGACACTCTTATAATACATTAAAGTCTTCCTGTAATAGGCATCTAAAACAACTTAGTTATTTATGTCTATGTATACACGGTTACACACACACGCAAATTACACAAGTGTTCCAAACATGCATTACTATCATTATGGGGAGTAATATTGTTTCTGCAAAAACAGTGCATCCTTTCAAAGCCAAATCAATGGACAAAAAATGTATTTTTCAGTTAAAATAGTAAAACAGAGTAAAGTTATAAAGCCAAGAAATACTCCATACTTACAGCTACAAAGGAACTAGAGAATGCCCTAGAAAGAATCTAAAGGGGACTTTGTACATTTTTAGTTGTTTTGGATATGAATGTTACCTACATTGTTTAAAATATATCCAGGCTCACTTAGAAATTTCTACTAATCTAATAAGGAAAAGAAAAGATGGGGGAAAGTATGCACCACATAATTTAACTATCATCAGATAAAAATGAACAGGAAAAGGTGGATGTGCAAAACAGCGAGCCACTAAATGCTCCTGAGATGCTGTGTACAGTTGTACAAACTGCTCACCGCATAAAGGCACTCAGAGGCAAAGCCAGGGTCTGCCATGTTCCACTACTAAGCAGGTCTTCCTGTCTCAAGGTGGGATGTGCCCTGAGAACACAGCCCCCCTCACCCCTCTAACCCAACAAATCTCAGATCACTGGACAAGCCTCAGGGTCAAACTCAAAGGGAGACCTTTTGAAGTTGGAAAGGTCTTCAGGGAGATGGTGTTCATCATAGCCCTTCACCATGCTACATTGCAGCTTCCAAACCTAGTACCCAGCCCCACCACAATAGTCAGATAGTCAATGTAACATGAGAGAAGAGCAAAACCATACAGCAGCCAGCTTTTTCTACAGAATGTTCTTATTCATTCACTGAACTTATATTTTACACTTTAAATGTGATGGATGTTAAAGCCCACTGCCCCGATGTTGTTGATAATTTATGTTGAGAAAAAGTAATCTTTGTATAACTCCTGCAAAGTTGCTAATACAATTTAGAATGATCTACTCCTGAAAGGGGGCACATACAATTTTCCTTTAATTATTTAAATGTGATAGCTGCTCCTATTTCACTTATCACTATATACTCTAAAGCCTGTGGGATCACATTTTGTTAAGCATTAGAACTGTCAGATATGTACGTGAAGAAACAAGATTGCATTTTCTATAAAACAGCCTATGGCTTGCTCTACCCAGAAGCAAACAGCTGTTCTCTCTATTCCCACATTTAGTCAGTGTACATTACTATGCTTTATATACCTATACACAACTTTCCTACTTCAAACAAAAAGCCCCATAGGCAAAAAATATAGCAAAATTGTTATCAAAATGCATTAGCCAATGGTTCTTTATTCTAAAGTCTCTCATTTTATGTATAATACTTAACTACAAAATACTACATTCTCATTTAGCAAAGATTATACATCATAAGTTTAATTAAATAGCTCAAAATGTATAGGTGAAGTACAAGACTGCTAAAGAAAATGAAGCACCTATACTTAGTACATCAGTTTAAGCTTTTCTGATTTCTATTTAAATACATAGTAAGCACCTATTTCACACAGTTCTCTAAGTAATAAAATTTAAAAATTTTTTCTAGAACTGGATACTATATATGATAACAGGACTACAAATGTCTGGAGTTTACCTCGGATAACATAATTATCCAGGGCAGCTTCCATTCTCTTCAGTGCTTCAGTTCTATCAGAGCCATATGTGATTAACTAAAAGCAAACAAAAAATATTTTAGCTATGAGTTACATGATTCAATACAGTAAAAATTAAATACTTCACAACAGATTTTGAAGTTTTACAGTGATTTGGTTTTTAATATAACAATATGTCAATTGTGATGTTTTTGGGTAAATGAATATTAAAAATCAAGCTATTTCAGACTTTTCTCTTCCATTTCATTATCATAGTAAAGAGCTACCTGAAAAAAATAAAATTGCACCAAAAACAAGCACAGTTTTAAGGAGATATATCAGAAAGTTTGGGGATATGATATAAACATCTGGGAGAGTGATGGGATTAGGAAAGACTATTTCCCTATTCCTGTGTGGTTTCCAAGCTACCATTTTCATAACTGACTAAAAAGTAGATAAACATTTAAATATGAAAGTGAACAGAATAAAAGGCTATTTTAAGAACAAGTTTTAGACATAATACACCACAGAAGTAAAGGGTATTAGTATCAGAAAAACAAAAAGGTCTCATTGTTGTATATAATGTTGTGCCTATTTATATGTATCTCATATAGATTAGCAAATAAGAGCTTAACTATTCATTTACAATTTTTCTGTTGCTAGTCCATCTAGAGATTGTAATTCTTTTAGCAAATTTTATAATCTCTTTAATATCAAATCAGTTTGAAAATTAATTTACACTCTATTTTTGTGAACAGAAATATGTTCATATAAAAGTGGAATCATGGCACTTAATCACTTTATACTGTATATATGTTGCCTTTAAAGTGTTAAGAAAAAAAAAGAAAATAAACAGTGTTTTTCTAGCAAGCAGAAAGACTTAAGGTTTAGTTTAACCATATTAGTGTGAAAAAATAAAAATAATTTATTTACTGTAACCACAACTACATTAAAAATTATACCTGGGGGAAAAAACCATGGTGAGATATAGAGTTTAATGAAGAAATCATTCCTCAATATAGATCTAACATTTCAGTGAACAAAGGATTTTCAAATGAAATCCATAGTTTTAAACCACCACAATATCTTACAGGCTTAAGATTTTAAAGACTGAAAATTCTCAATAGAGCTATTTATTTCATCTGGAAAATTAAACTTGGAAAAGAGAAGTGGGAAAATCACATTTTATACTTTTATATGAAACTTAATTGGACTAGGGGTATAGCTCACTGGTAAAGTACTTGCCTAACATATACAAAGCCCCGGGTTTAAACACAGCACCTCAGAAAAAAAATACTAAGTCATGTCTAATCCACTTAATTAGCAATTTGTAAACTTGTAATTAGTAATTTGTAAATTGAGAAGATCAAAACTATTATTGGCTAGGTCAGGGTGTGTGTGTGTGTGTGTGTGTGTGTGTAGAAATAATGTGAAATTGAAGTTTCTCAAGAAAAAAATCTCTGCTTTCACTTTTCTATCTGCATAATTATTTAATAATAATAATACATGATTCAGAGAAAGGCTCAAATATGTGTATTATTTGTTCAGAAGAAAACTGATAGAAACCATTAAGAACCAAAACTAACTTTGGAAATCATAGGATCATAATAAATGCTTATGTCACTTCCTGGCTGGATGCCACTGTCAACACGGACCTGGGAGAAAGAATGAAAAATAAATAAATAAAAGTAACTTCATAATGGGAAGATATACATTTTTAACCATAAGTTTAATTTCCATGGAGTAAACGGATAGAGTTTCACACTCAAATAACATTCAAGACTTCTGGGAAACAGAAAAACAATCTAAAAATACATCAGTTAAGTTTGATCTGTTAATACACACTATAACATTTTTTGTTGTTCTCACATTAAACAAAGAAGTAAGAATAAGAAGAGGGAACAGAAAAGGGAAGGAAAGTGGAAAGGGAAGGTAGAAAAAAAGGGGAAAGGAAGGAAGGAAGAAAGGGAGGGAAGGGGGAAAGGGCAACAACAAAATCTCTGTGTATTGTTAGGTCAGAGTACATGGGGGTCTTCCCACCAACAAGTAGCTGGGATGATGCCCCTCTGGAAATGACTTCCCAATGGACCTCTGAGAATGCCAGGCAGGTTCTGGCTAAGCCCACCGCTCAGCACATAGGCACCATGCCTGGCCTTTCGTGTCTGCTACACTTTCCTTTTTTGCCTCACCCTCTCAACTGTAAAACACTATTTTTCTGTTTCTATTAGTTCCCTGAGGCATTAATGTTTACACAGCTTTTCTCATGGCTTTGCTTTGTAAGGACTCAGCCCCAATTAGAGTTCTGATTTGGTGATTTTTATGGGGTGGGTGGAATCAGCACAAGTTCAAAATATCTTTTGAAGAGCCTGATTGCTGTTAACCAACCAACAAGTCAGCCTATCACTGATTCTTATTTTCATCGCCCAGCTTGATATCAGCAGTGAGGCACGGAGGTTAGCCATGTAAAACTTTTTAAATGAGCAGTTTGCCGAGGACAGAATATTTATTAATTACTGTGACTAAATTTGGGAACTTGAAATATTTAAAAGCTAATCAAAATACTTAAGAGTGTCAGGCATATCCCAGGGGTCTTAAGGACAAAGGAATTCAATTGAAGCTGCTAGAACAGCAGGACTTTGATGCCCAACATTGTAAAGGGGTAGGAAGAGAGGAGCTGAAATGTGTGTAGCCCATCACCTGTGGGAAGAAGCCTTCCTAATAAACAGCAGCTCATCTGTCTGTGGCAAGGCAGAAAAAGGTCAACACAGCGGCTGTTAGGCCTTTAATATTTTAATTTAGGCAATTATCAAGGGACCACACGTAGAACCTCTTGTCTACCATACCCACATGAGGGTATGATGATGGCTTTATTACACAGCGACATCAAAAGAGAAGCCATAATCTCATTCTCTTTTTTAAAAAATCACACACTATCATTCTCTTTGTGAGGTTTTAAAACATAGCATTATAACATACCCAGAGGGCTTTTATTTCTGTATCTGCAAATGCAAAAATATGGATATTTGTATTCACATTCATATATGAAAATACTAACTTAAATGAAGACCAGTCAGCATAGTTACAAAATACAGTTGGCCTTCTATTTTCTTAAAACATACTTTGAGACATAACTAAGTTATATAAAATTCACTGTTGATAAAAACTTGAAAAGAATAGGGCAACTTTGAAGGCAATAAAATCACAATCCACCTTCTCACTACAGTTAAATGGCCTCAAAATAGCAAATGGCAATTAGTTAACATAATAGAAAAGATACCTGTGCATTTTCATTTTCTAAATTTTAGAACCAACAAGTTGAAGTGCTAATTTTACTACCATGTCACCTTTAAAACCAAAGAATATTTGCTAAAGCTGTGATTAAAGTTGAGATACTGATCTTAAATACATCATTTGCTACATAAACTGCTACAAAGCTGGAAAGAAACTTCGAAGTTCAACCCACAGGTAAAGTAACATAGACAATAAAGAATATTTATAACATCTTGGGTCAGGGATTTAGCTCAGTGGTTTTGCTGCCTGCCTCACAAGTGCAAGGTCCTGAGTTTGATTCCCGGTACTAAAACAAAACAAAACAAGAATATTTATGACATTTCTTTGTGTTCATAACTTAAAATGTTAATTGCCTTCAACATTACTATCCTGAAAGTTAAGTTATTAAGGGCTCCTAGATATAGCTGTGTCTTTGATACTAAAATTGTAATCATAGAAAGTGTACCTATCATTTTAACTTAAAAATATGCATGGTAAAATAAAAATGTATTATATAGAATTAACACAAGTAAGCAAATCAACATTTCCAATTAGAAATTGTAACAAAGCATAAAAATCCTAATTTATAATTTACAGCTTACAGCTTTTTTCCAAAAAATCAGCTATATTTTTATTCCTATCAACCAATTAAAAGTCAAATCAATGCCAATTTTTCCATGAAATATAAATTATAATATAATATTAATATAATATAAATTAGCATTAAATATGTTAAGAATAAAATCAATGGAACCCCAATCAAATCTGTGAACACAAGATTGTGGTTTGACAGTAAACTTACAAAATATGATGATCAAAAAGAAAATCTTCATGTCTGCCATATCAATAGATGTCATCTTAAAAACACTTATGAAAACTACAAATTACTACTTAACTGTGAAGTGTGTGTTCATGTGACCAAAAAAGGTAACATCCAAAAATGGTTTCTCAAGTTAAACAGACTGATCCAGTTTTAATAAGGCAAGGAGGGACAAGCAACAATGACCACAAAACACCCAAGCACCTCTGTATGAGATTCTCAAACCACTGCTCACAAACCTCTAACATAATTAAAATTTCCTCCTTCAGTACCACAGCAGACCCTGGAAACTATCAGACGTCTCCCACCCTTTATTCTCAATTCACCTCTCCCCTAACTAAGCACAACTCCCGGCCCGCCATGTCTACCTGACAAGTGACAGCCCAATCTGATTAAATGCTTCCAAGGGAGGGGGCTCGTGGGCCTCCATGACAGGCCAAAAGTGATCACCATGGAGATACATAATTACAGCTGTCAACGCATCTACTGTCCTGCTGACATCAATTTGATTGCTCCCAGCAATAATGATAGACAAAGCTTAGTGTGCACTCTCCTGCACCCAATCACTTTATCTATTCCTTGGTCCATTTAGCTGACATGCAACATTCACACAAGCAAATAACAGCAGTAAGCAGAACATTTAAGGCATTTTAATTGTTTTTTCTTTCTATGGATGGCTCACAACTGCAAATGTTATTACATAAAACTCCTGCTGCAGCATTAATTGAAGAAAGATTTGGTGGGACAAAGACTGTAGGGGGTATAGTTTGTCCATTATCACTTGTACTTTCAACAGGTCTCACGTTTGAAAATTGCAAATTGCAAAAACTTGCGAGGGCAAAATGTTTGACATCCTGTTAGCTATTACAACATGGTGAAAACTTCTAACAACTAGAGTAATCATTATGAATTCTTATTTAATACTTTTTTGTTTGATTAAAAAAGTGTTTAGCTATGTCCCTATGATGCTTGTTTTCTCATCTGCTATTTAACGTCACATAATGCCTGTTAAATCTTTACAATTTTTTTTCTGCCTTCAGGCTTTGAACACAGCATGGAGTCTCCAAGCCCAGAAAGGGTCAAGTCCCTTTAGAGAGCACATGGACAAAAACAATTTAAAAAGTGAAATAAATCACATATCCAATAACATCTTCAAATTTAGAATTCTTCCTGTAATCTTTCACCATCTTCTTGCCAGTAATCAAATGGAATAATCATATTCACAGATGGTCCACCCTTGTCATCCACCAGCTAACATAATGTCATATATACATGTACTTATTACCTTGATTAGGAGAAAGGGTATGTCCTTGTTCTTTTTATGCAACAAAAATTATTTAAAGAGCAATTATTAAATATAGGCAACTGTGAAATAAAATAGACAATGGTCACATTTTCTCAACTCATGCAAATAATATGCACTTTTAAAATACTTAGTAGAATGAGGCACATTTTTCCCCTTAATCCAGTTTAATTAACAAGCTGATTTTGTGCTTCAGTTTCCTGATCTCTGACTATACAGGGAAGTTAAGTTAGATTTACTAAAAAGTATAAATTGAAACACATAAAAATAGTCACTTCCCATTCTTAGGATTCCATGATCTATTTTATGATGATTTTCAAGAGACTGATAACCTTGGAAGTTATCATTTATGTGATCAGATGTTTCTGAGCTCCCCCTATGTAGTGAATTCTAACTTTCTCAAACACTATAAGTACCCCCAAAATTTTATTTTTATTTTTTTGGTACCAGGGATCAAACTCATGACATTGTGCTTGCAAGGCAGGTATGCTGCCACTGAGCTAAATCTCCAACCCGCCACACACAAAAAATTTTTTTTAAACTCAAAAACTGATTATCCATGAATTTCACTTGTCCTTTAGTATACACCCTCTGGGGCTGACTTACTTGAACATAAAAGTATAGCATAAATCAAGACTTTAATCCCTACATTGATATTACAACTTAATGACTTACACCAGGTAGATGTATAGGTTCTTGGTATTGAGACAATCTCCCAACAGACGGTAAACCAAAAGACTTGTAGGGGTCCTGAAAGTTCAAAGGCAAGGAAACACAGTCTTTGAAATATAAATCAGCACAAGTAATGTTAAATACAATGAAGAAGAATTTATAGGTCTAGTTTTAATATACTGTATTTACCAAATCACAAATTTCAGAATATTGTTGCTGCCTGATCCTCTATACAACTTAGAAGTATATTTAAAAATCAAACAGAACTGCAAGCAGAATTTAGCCTGACCTTGATCATACTTTATTGAAATTGGTAAAATTCCAACTTTTTATAAAACTTCTTAGAATGCCTTGGGCAAAAATAAAATAACCTAGGCTCTACATCAAAACATACTCAAGTTCAGAACAACAAATGTGGCTCACTAAAGATATTTGTTTTTCTTACTTCTCAAAACAGCTCACATATGGTAAAACTTGAGAATCTGGGTTCTTCAAATAAAGACCTAAAAAGAATCTGCACGTGCTTCTAGATATGTATTCTATTCGTAAATATCTTAGATCATCAAATAATAATAAATAACTTCAATGTCATAAGAAAGGCACACCACTCAACATATGACAAAAAGAAGAGCATTAATAAGCACAGCAAAACGTATTTTTAAGCTACTTTTTAAAAATTTCAAAATTACTTTCAAGAGTTTTAATCAAACATACTGCTAATATTTATATTGACAGACATTTTGTATGTCATAAAATAAAAGTAGCCATGTTATTCTGAGTTCTTGTTTTAATCATTTGAGAAAAGTATTTTCAGATGTTGAGTGCACTGTTTATAATTTATACAGTTATAAAAGTATTGAACTAAGACTTTATGAGTAAAATGATTAAGAATACATGTTTTATCAAAAGCTTTATAATCTATATTTCAGTTGTTACTTTCATGTAATCATGAAGGACAAAATTAGAAGAAAAAAAACTAGGAACTAAGATGGACCCAGGTTAGGCTCTTTTTAACAGTACTTCTTGCTGATGCCGCCCTGGAAACAAGCCAAAAGCAAACCAAAAAAAAAAAAAACTGATGGTTCATTCAGATTCAAGAATATTTACCTAATGCTTTGTTGACTCTTGATGGATTCGTAGCTATTTCCCTATCCAAAAATATATGAAAATTAACTGAACTCAACTCTTTAAAATTAGTTAATTCTGTTAAAATAATTAAAAATTTTTTCTGGTGTAATCATGAATTGCATAACCGAATACCTGACACAAATATCTTTACCTGTCATTCAGCTGCACTAGGTCTCCTGACTCTGGGCACAACCACCATCCTTCCTCCCAACACCATTCATTTACCTCAGCATAAACTCGACATTCCACTGCCCAGCCATTGATGGGAATATCAGCTTGTTTGTGCCTCAGAGGATAACCCTTAGCAACACGGATCATTTCTTGGACTAGGTCCAGGCCAGTAATGCATTCTGTGACAGGATGCTCAACCTGCAAGGCCAAGATCTGCCAGTCAATAGGTGAAGAAAAAGGTAAATAGAAACAAACAAGAAAAATTTCAAATGTTTCTGGGTAAAATGAGGTCAATTACATTAAATATTTAATAATACTTAAAACCATCAGCAAGAATAAATATAATATAGTACACAGATCACGGTAAGAAAAACTAACACCTAAGAACTATTTATGAAAAAAAAGTATTTATGAAGAATTTGTATTATGTTTCCCAATTTTAATTTATTTGTGGTCCAAAAACGTTTAACAATTTTAACTTGAAACTGATTCTCAAGAGAAAAACATTTATTTTGTTACAATTCTCAAAGTGGCTATCAACCTATTCTGTTACTGTTAACATGGCATCTACCAGGACAGCTTATAATTTTCCAGAGCACTAGTCTGGCCTGAGTCTCGCCCACTTGCATGCTTTCACTAACTTGTCCTGACAAGCAACCAGATTAGTGTACTCTTGCATCAATGCAGCTTAGCAGAAAGGAGCAGATGGATCCTGCAGGTTGCTTTCCCTCCAGACTGGCCTGGGTAGTGCTTAGCATGCACAATTGCAAAATCACAATTGCGTGAATCACTCTGCTCTTTCAGCAAACTGCTGATAACTATTTTCGCTGAAGCTGTCATGGGAGTCCTTGGCCTCACATACTAACACATGGAATACAAATGTACAAAAACATGCAAAGACACACAGGCACATGAACAGGAATACATGCCATTATAAAATGACTGATCATTTGTAAATTCCTCAATTTGAGTGAAAATAAAGCCACTATGGTGATGAGGATGTAGCTCAGTGGTAGAGCATTTGCCTAGTATATAAGATGCTCTGGGTTCAACTCCCAGCAACCCCTCTTCAAACAAAAAAGGCAGTTATGGCACCAACAAAGAACAAACATTCTGTTTGGTCAAAGCCTTGAATTCGTTTTTAAAATTAAATAAAATTTTGGTCACATTTGTTACTTTGATATGAATTTTTTCCCTTGTGGAGATTATGTTCTAAATGCATTTTCATAACAGTTTCTTTATTATGACATGTCATATTTCACACATGGACACAGGAAAAGGTCAGTGAACAAACGAATTATCTTCCCATCTTCAGCTACACTAATTGAAGGACAGGACTTAGTCATTATAATAATCTTGAAGCTTATTATAAGCAGACAATGCCACGGTTTAAAAAAAAAACCTTGATAAAAATAAACAGATGGCATCCATAATTAGCTCTGTGTGTGTTATGAGTTTGTTTACAGTTTCAACAACATTTTAAGACATTTTGACATAATTTTAATGACAAATCATTGCTAAAATAAGCATCTATCCTTTGTAAAATAAATGTGTCACTAAAGAAAGATCTTAGGCAGTTTAAACTATATATTTTAAAAGTAAACTATGGTTTTGTGAGAAATAAGACTATGGTAAATATAATAAAAAAGGAACAAGAATAAAGCCCCTCTATTAATGCTACAAACCAATTTCATGGGAGAAAACATCTGAGCATACTATACAAGATGTGAACCTACTATGTGTCCAGTATCTTCTAACAGTGCAATTTTACACGCTTGCTGAGTAAGAAAACAATTTTAAAAGTTAACTGAATGATTCAATTTTGTCTATGATTAGTGCCCAGAAAAGTAACTACTATGTGTAAAGCAAGTAAATATACATGGAAGAAATGAATGAGTGAACAACAAATCCAACCATTCCTATGGGGGGCTGGCATTTCTGTCTTTTCAGAGATGGCATTACTTTCCCATCCTTCTTTATGATGAAATATGTATGAAAGCATACAGTAGCTACAAATGTATATACAAGTGTATGCTATTGTTTTAAAAGCATGTTGCTATAACAGTTGAAAGATCCCACTTGATTACAAGGCTCTATTTTACCTTAGAAGACATTACTATAAAGTACCTGTATAGAAAAACAAGTACATTAGACCCAATTTGACTAGGATCCAAAGATGGACCACTTTGTTCCAAAGTTAATGTTATATAACAGAAATAAATCACAACACTTTACAATCTAAATTAGTGAGTTTCAAGAAATTCAAAACAAAAGTGACTAAACTAACTAGCTTTTAAAGGTATCAATACTTACAAAAACTATTCAGGTATAAATATTATCAAAGTCTATGAAACAGTTTTAAAATATCTAAATTTTTCAGATTAAAGAAATATATCTTCAAGGGACAGGGATTTGGCTCAGTGGTTCCACTGCCTGCCTCGCAAGCACAAGGACCTGAGTTCAACCCCCGGTACCACCAAA